GTTTTTTTTGGGTCTTGGGGCCCGTCCCTCACCCGAGAGGATGAAGAAGATGCCCGAGACGAAGGCCAGCAGGGTCCTCTGGGGCCGGATGTGCCCCACGTTGCTGATGACGAAGGCGGTGAAGACGAGGAAGAGGCTGACCATGGGGAAGGGCGTGGCCGTCCGCACGGTCTCTGGGGGATAGAAACAGTGGGATTGATTCTGCAGAATTCACCCCCAATTCATCCCAAATTTATCCTAAATTCATCCCGAATTCATCCTAAATTCACCCCAAATTCATCACAAATTTATCCCAAATTTATCACGAATTTATCCTGAATTTATCCCTAATTTATCCTGAATTTATCCTGAATTTATCACAAATTTATCCTGAATTTATCCTGAATTTATCCTGAATTTATCACAAATCACCCAAAATTTATCTCCAAATTCATCCCAAATTTATCCCAAATTTATCCCAAATTTAACCTAAATTCATCCAAAATTCATCCCAAATTTTATCCCAAATTTATCCCAAATTTAACCTAAATTCACCCGAAATTCATCCCAAATTTATCCCAAAATTTATCCCAAATTCATCCCAAATTTATCACAAATTTATCCCAAATTTATCACGAATTTATCCTGAATTTATCCCAAATTTATCCTGAATTTATCACAAATTTATCCTGAATTCATCCCGAATTCATCCTAAATTCATCCCAAATTTATCACAAATTTATCCCAAATTTATCCTGAATTTATCCCAAATTTATCACAAAATTCATCCCCAATTTATCCCAAATTCACCCAAAATTTATCCCCAAATTCACCCGAAATTTATCCCAAATTTATCCCAAAATTCATCCCGAATTTATCCTAAATTCACCCGAAATTTATCCCAAATTTATCACAAATTTATCCTGAATTTATCCCAAAATTTATCCCAAAATACACCCGAAATTTATCCCAAATTCAACTAAAATTCACCCCAAATCACCCAAAATTTATCTCCAAATTATCCCAAATTCAACTAAAATTCACCCCAAATCACCCAAAATTTATCTCCAAATTCATCCGAAATTTATCCCAAATTTATCCCAAATTTATCCCAAATTTATCCAAAATTTATCCGAAATTTATCCTAAATTTATCCCAAATTTATCCCAAATTCATCCCAAAATTTATCCCAAATTTATCCTAAATTTATCCCAAATTTATCCCAAAATACACCCGAAATTTATCCCAAAATTCACCCAAAAATTCCAAATATTCCCCCCCCCAAAATTCCAAATATTCCCCCGAAAAATTCCAAATATTCCCCAAAAAATTCCAAATATTCCCCCGAAAAATTCCCAAATATTCCCCTGAAAAATTCCCAAATATTCCCCCAAAATTCCCGATTTTTCCCCGGAATTCCCGTTTTTTCCTCACTCAGGATGTTCTCGGTGTTTTCCGTCACCAGGTTCAGCTCCGGCTCCAGGAAATATTCGGAGGCCACGCAGCGCCCCTTCTCGCGGCCTGGGAAACCCCGAATCGGCCCCAAATTCACCCCAAATTCACCCAAAATTCACCCAAAATTAACCCCAAAATTATCCCAAAATTAACCCCAAATTCACCCAAAATTAACCTAAAATTAACCCCGAATCGGCCCCAAATTCACCCAAAATTCACCCAAAATTCACCCCAAAATTAACCCGAAATTAACCCGAAATTATCCCCAAAACGGCCCCAAAATTGAAACAAAATTATCCCAAAATTAACCCAAAATTGACACAAAACTGACACAAAATTAACCCGAAATTATCCCAAAATTATCCCAAAATTAACCCCGAAATTATCCCAAAATTATCCCAAAATTATCCCAAAATTAACCCGAAATTAACCCAAAATTAACCCGAAAATGACATAAAATTATCCCAAAATTATCCCCAAAACGGCCCCAAAATTAACCCAAAATTGACCCAAAATTATCCCAAATCACCCGAAAATTAACCCCAAAATAACCCAAAATTGACCCAAAATTAATTCGGAATTACTTTAAAATTAACTCAAAATTAACCCAAAATTATCCAGAAATTAAATCAAAATTAACCCCAAATTTTTCCCCAAATTTACCCCAAATTTACCCTGAAATTACCCCAAAATCACCCAAAAAATCCGAATTTTTTCCCCTAAAATCCCGAATATCTCCCCCAAACTTTCTCCTATTGATCCCAATTTTTTTTCCCACAAATCCCAAATTTTTCCCCACGGAATCCCATGGGATATTATGGGATACAAGCCTTAAAAAAAAATAACTAAAAATCAATTTTTTTCCCCTTAAAATCCCAATATCTCCCCCAAACTTTCTCCTATCCTTCCCATTTTTTTTTTTCCTTGAATCCCAAATTTTTTCCTATGGAATCCCATGGGATATTATGGGATATCTGAGAAAAAGCAAGCCGGAAAAAAAAAACATAAAAATACGATTTTTTTCCCCTAAAAATCCAAATATCTCCCCCAAACTTCGCCCGATCCATCCCAATTTTTTTTCCCGCAAATCCCAAATTTTTTGCCATGCAATCCCATGGGATATTATGGGATACAAGCCTTTAAAAAAATAACTAAAAATCCAATTTTTTTTCCCCTTAAAATCCCAATATCTACCCCAAACTTTCTCCTATCCTTCCCATTTTTTTTTCCTTGAATCCCAAATTTTTCCCCATGGAATCCCATGGGATATTATGGGATACAAGCCTTAAAAAAAAAAACTCAAAAAATCAGATTTTTTTCCCCTAAAAATCCAAATATCTCCCCCAAACTTCGCCCGATCCCTCCCAAATTTTTTTCCTTGAATCCCAAATTTTTTCCCCGTGGAATTTTGGAATTTTCCCGGACTATTATGGGATACCTGCGAAGAAGCAGACGCGCCAGAGCCCCGCGTGCAGCGCCATGCGCACCTCGGTGCTCTGGTTCTGCGGGGACACGACGCCCTCCTCCATGTAGAGCCAATAATCGGTGGAGACCGCGATGCCCACCAGGAGCAGCCCGCACGCCCCGAACACGCTGCTCAGCAGCGTCAGCGCCCGCGAGCTGCACGAGCTCATCCTGGGACCTGCCGGGGACGGGGGGAAAAAAAAAAGGAAA